GTAAAACCGAATATGCACGCACTCAGAATACACAGAATGCTGCGAACCACTGTCAACTTAAAAAACCAACCCAAACCCTGGAAGGAGTTAAGGAGCAAGTGATATCGTTATAGGTGGAAGAGGATGACATTCCAAGTTATTATCAAGGTCAAGAAGGGGGAAGAGGAGCGGCGCGGGGCGATCCCGGCGGAGGCAGAGTCCCTAGGGGGCACTGCGCAATTAATATTGGCGGAGCCGGCCACGGCCACAAAGACGGGGCTGCTGCCCAAAAACGTGAACAAGCGTTTTGTTCTGACAGCAGCTTCCCGATGACACTAGGAACCCCCACTATTTGTCCTTATAGCATAACGAACTGCTTTCCATCGTAAATATTTCCCTCTAGGATTGTTTAATATTCTAGTGAAACGCGGGAGTTGCAGAATGTATGGACAACAACCAGACAGAATGAAAGAACAGCAATAAAATACTCCTCTTTGGGTGGAGGGGACAGGTAGAAAGAAGATCAAATAAGTGTTAAAGTCGTCTTGATTATAAAGGTAAAGTAAAACGCGAGTCTTATATATATATAATATATAATTATTTGGTGCATAATAAAAAAAAGAGCTACTGTTGAGTTTATAAAACAAATTAAATCCTCGATACAATGAGATTATTCTGATTCATCTTCAGTATTGAACGATTTTTCATAGGGTAAACAAGTCAAATTTGTGGGTTTTTTCTACATGAAAATGCAACACTTACAGTGTCTGCCTTACAAAACCAGCAAATACAGAAGCACCTTTATTCTTGAGCTTTAAACTCAGAGCTAGTGATCAGAGCAGGCTCGAAGAATGCTGAGAGTGTACCTGCACTATGCAGGACTGCCAGCCAATAAAACCGTGATTTCAGTTTGAATTATGTAGGTGCCAGGACACAGCCACCTTGGAAGTGAGCACTTTAAGTGGGTGCCTCTATGCTGTGTGTATATCTGCAAGTGGGGATGAAATCACATTTTTTACCTTGAAGATGTAGGTATGGGAGTCTATCCATATCAAATAGCATGATACGAAAGGCAAAAATACAGACCTTTCATATGAAATTCCCTATTGCTTTTCCTGATCCCAAGTTAGAGCTGATAATTAACATTTATGATTTTTTGCTTACACTAAACCCCTGTTTTGGAAACAGAAGGCAAGTAAGGAAATGAGTGCTGTTGGACAAGATTTTATATTTCCTCTGCCACTTGTTTGTTCTCCTTGAGGACTTATGCCCTTCTCTAATAGTTTTAGCCACAATCTTCCAATTCAGTCTCTAAACATGAGGTTCCACACGAAATGCTATCCTGCCATGAAGGTTGCTGTATAAAAGCCACTTCTGGAAACGTCACATAAACCATCAGCTTTGCATTACCTTGTATTTAGGGCAGGTTTAAAGCAGGCTGGAAAATTCAGACTTGCAACTTTATGAGAAACACTTGAAAAATAATTTTACTTATTAGCAAAAGTTACACAGTTTCAAGCTTTCCCAAAGAAGGGGCAGAGGAATTAGTTTTGAGATAATCAAAATATTTTGGAAATTTCAAAATAATACCATGCCAAGAAGTTGAGTTGGTACCAGCTTTAGAGCAAGGAGCCCAGTATGCTTGGAAGCTTAGCTTATGTCTTTTAACAATTCTTCAAAACCAACACAAGACATTTTGGTTGCCATCAGCCTGGGGTTTTGAGCCAAAATTTGCTTCATTGTTACCTATCAAAGTAGTTGTAAGAGGTTCAGTAAAAGCACCATGAGTCTACCTGATTCTAAAATTAAAGTGAAAAATAGACAAATATACCAGTATCAGTCTTCAAAAAGCATTGCCTTCAGCCTGGTGCTGTGAGACTATTACCCACCAGACACATAGGAGCAAACTCTGTAATTACAAAATTTTGCTGATGAGAAAAGCAGAAAATCTTTTCTCTGGTGATTTTACTTCTGATATTCGGGACTCCATTTTATAGTGCTCTTTCATCATTGACTACCATTTTATTTTGCACTGCAAATATAAAATATTCATTTTATTTCTATAACTCTAGGCATACTCCTAGTAAAAGAACTGTATTTGAAGCCTTTCTATTAATGTAAAAATAATAACTTAGACATTAATACAACTATAGTTTTGCTGAACATGTATTTTGAGAAATATTGTAATATTTTTACTTTGTCAGTCAATAAATGTCACATTATTTCCTATTAATTTCCAATAGATTAAATAAAGCTAGTTTCTTCTTACTACACCATACTTGGAGGCAATTTCTCTGTAATGCAGGACCCAAGGATTTGAAGAATTTTATTTTGATGAACATGATGAGTTAATTAGAAGCAATATTCCCTGTCACCTCAGAACAAAAGCTAGTCACAAGTAACCTTGAAACACTATCTATTTCATGGAACTGTGTAAACAAGGAGCTGACAACTTTTACAGGGCAATTGGTAAGATTATATGTTTCTTTCCTAAATTACAGATAAACTGTGATAGTAGGAACACAGTAGGAGCTGGGAACAGGCATTTAGGTTTCACCTAGCCACTTGTCTGGTACCTATCACCTGTCTGTGAGGTGGTGGCATCCCAGCTTGTGCTGAGTCTCACAGAGCTAAGAACTGGGATCTGCTTCCTCTCACAGCGTTTCTCTCACACCACAGCCTTCACCCCCTGCCTGGGCTGCCCCTCATTTGTCATGGATCCCTGCACTCTGTTAGGAATGGGTGTAATAGGTTGCTGAATGATGGTCTGAATTTGGGATAGGTGCCCAAACAACATAAACATGGAAGTTAAATTAGCATTCCTTACAAAGGCTGAGAAAAATAAAAAAGAAAAGAGGAGATGAGAAAGTATGCCCACATGTGGTGACCAGCTTTCTTCATTTGCCTTCTGACATTGATTACTGATGGAATGTACTCACAAGAACAGCCTATGTATGAAACCAGACAAATCACAGAGCAGTATTCCAAGGTCAAAATTTGAAGGCTCTGCAATGATGGGGAGAAGAACCATAAAATCACTAAGGCTGGAAAAGACCTCTAAGACCATCAAGTCCAACCACTAATACAGAAAGAAACCCCACAATCTGCTGCTCAACTTTAATCCCACTGCTGGCACCCAATCTGACTCGGGTCATTTCTTGTGAAAAGCAAACACTCTCTCCTTGCTGGCATTTGGGAGTCACCAATGCTTTGTGATCTGTTGCAATGTAACATCACAGCAATCCAAAACCCATACCCTGACCTTCCCCTTGAGGTCTGGAGACTTAATAAAATTCCACTGAGCTGTGAAAGACTGCCAAACAGTATAGGCTTTGCTTGATACTACTTCAAACTCTAATTAAGAAAGTATTGCCACAAGAAGTCTCAAGAATTCAGCTGATAATTATAAAAATAGGACTAAGAGTATTTATTTTGGCATGATAGCAGGCATTCTTAAGATATGTGAACTTTCAAAAGCAGTGGACTAGAATATAGTAGTAAAATCTCCATAAACTGATCCAAGCTGATCCAACTGATCCTGAACTTCTGTGATTCCCAGAGCATCCAGGGGGAACAAAATTAAGGTTTTTGACTGAGTCCTGCTTTGCATTTTGTGTTAATTCACCTTCTCTAAATGTAGTTTTTCTTAAGAAAACAAATTTGCTTTATTTCCGTTCTCATTCAGTAATAATATTTTATCTCTGTTGATTCAAAGCTGGAAATTTTCACTAGCCAGTTGCAAAACAAATTGAGAGGTTGAAAGGTCACAGAGATGTTAAGTTCATCCAGGTTTCTGAACAACCCCAAATCCCACAAGGCCATGTTAAAAAAACTAAAACCAAAACCCAAAAAAAAAACATTTATAGCCATGAAAAAAAAAAGTTTCTCTTATGTGAGTTACTGGAATTCCTATTTGAATAAAATATCAAGTTCTAGCTGTGAGTGAGGAGGTTCTCTTCTTTTGACAGAGAGGCAGCACAACAAACTTTTCAGCTATCTTAGACTGCATGACATCTGGCTCCAGGCTCAGTGCAGTTTCTACATGCACTGCTTCCTGTCACAGTAATTAAGTGCATTTTTCTTGATTAACAGAAATCCAAACAAGATAAAGAGCTAATTTGCTTTCTGCTTTGGGTCCCAGTGGATGAAGCCTGTATGTATTTCTTGGAGGTTCTTCATCATTTAGCACTGAGATAAATCCAATGACACTCCTGAGAATAATATAAACGGGTAATTTTTGGATGCACCAAGATTTTTGTAATAAGACAGTTTACTTAAATTTATACTAAAGTCATTTTAGGTTTGAGGAGATGAAAGGAAGGAGCCAATGTGAACAGAAATGTTTTCTTATTTTACCTTGCTCTGAAATGGGAGAGGTGCAAATTTTGAGTGTGAGAGTGTGCCGGCAATTCAAAGCTGATACCGATTTAGATTTGTATGAGAAACAGAGGGTGAAGCAACAAGTACAAAACAAATCTAACCAAGGCCATTTTACTATTAAAACTATGTGGAATATGTGAGCACCCAGCAAAAGCAATGAGTATTTTGTTCTGAGAAATGGACATGGAAATCCTTGGTTGTATGAACAATCCGAAATTAAATGACATAATGACTATCTGACAAATTTTGTAGGAAAAAAAATAATAAATCATTAAAATAATTACATTGAACTGGTGCAGAATTTAGCATTTCAGCACAAAAATAAAGTCTGTATTGGAATGGAAAGTCAAACCACTTTATCGAGTGCTTGTCAGATTTAGAAACATGGAATGTATGCCACAGAAATTCTTCCAGAAGTTGTTTTAGTAAATTTCCTTTTAAAACACATTCTCTCCACCCAACTACTCTTTTATTTTTTTTTTCAAAACCCTCTGAGTCATAAGTGCATCATACTAACTGCTCTTATATGAGACGACATCTTGGAATACATTAAGCAGGTGACAGATGATGCACCACACTATCCCCTTTGCAAAATATGGGGCTAATTTAACAGCATTAAATAAATCTCTTTTCTAAAGCTCTGTGTATGTTTCTAACATGCAGAGCTTTTTTGTTGTTGTGTTTTGGGATTTTTAGTATCCTTCATTTCCTATGCACATAAAATGGAGAAGGTTCAAAGCCTCTGTAACATTGAAATAAGGAGTTTTGACATACCTGGGTGGCTCAGTCTGCCTCAGGGCTCTTCAGTACATTTGACATGACCGGTAGCAGGCCAGTGGGTCACGATGAGAAGGAGCCAACAATTCACAATGAGTGAAGGCTTCTTGGAAGCATTACAAGCAAAACTGGTCACAGCTCATATTAAAACTGTGATAAATGCCTGGGGTACTCAGCATATATCCCTAAACGTGGGAGGTTATTTTTAATACTCTTGCAGGTCACCTTTAAATGAATTTGCACATCAGTGATTAACTGCTAGAGCACATGTTATATGTATCAGAAGTAAGGAAACTTACATGTGCTGTGTGGCAGCCTTAGACAACATGATTCATTGCAGCATGAAGTTCATTGGAGTGCTCTCATGATTCTGTTAAAATTCTGGTCAGCTCCTCCCAATCAGATACTGGGAAGTAACGAGGTTCTCCAACACCATGGGCAAAGTGGCAGTAAATTAGTGGCTTATGGATAAATATGTGCTCATCAACACCCTGGTGCTAACAATATAGAGATATAAACAAGTATTCACCCAGCATATTAACCCTTTATCACAATTGTCTTTTTTTGTGTGTGCACATATGAAGTCTAAATAGTATTTTCATTTATTTTCTGTCAGACTCCGGCTGCATGCCATTTCTAGAAGTTCTGGCTGCTAGATATCCTGGACTGGGTCTTCTCTCTGTAGACAGATGAATAGGCTATCAAATGCAACACAGATTTTGTTGATAGATTTTCATTTCAGCTCCTTTTCTGGAGGAAAACAAGTTCACCCCAATATTATGGGATTATTTTTCCCAGACACTTTATGCTATTGTTTAACTCTGCTCTCCTTGGAGTACACTCTGCATCTCTGTATCTTCCATTGATCATAAATATTCTCCTAGTCTTTAACATGGTATGCAACCATAAGGTGGTAGCATCTGAACAGAAAAAAAGATAAACAATCTCATTACAAAGAAGAAACTTCAATAAGTATGCTTCTTCAAAAAAAACAGAAGACAGAATTCTGGTGAATTCTAGACTCTAGTGATTTTGTTTTTATCCTCTTCTCTATTATATTGGAATTATGTTCATTCAGACCAGGAACATAGTAAAAAAACACTCTATAATAAACAATTTATCTGCAAAAACATAGTTTCAGTATAATAACATCCCTTTCATCTTCCTAATACTTATAGTATAATATTTCATGAAACAGGGCATATACCTGTCAGATACCTGTCTTACCTCATGCTGAGAATCATACCTCCAAGTACCTTCTGTAGAATGGATGAAAATTTTGTAAAATGTTCAGTATCTTTTTCCTCCATATATTTAACTAAGGAAATGCAGCATGATTTCATGGAGTCATAAAAGGACCAAGGAAATAAGAAGCTATATATCACTGGGGAGGGGAAAGTGCTCCCTGCACATTTAATTCAGACACCTTTTTTCCTTATAGATGATACTGTCAAATCCCTCATTAGAAGCAAATATTTCAGTCAGTGATACGCATTCTTGGGTCACCAAAAGATGATTATTTGCTTTCCACAGCACCTATGTTTAATGGACAATTAATGTCCTGTTGTAAAAGGAGTTATATAATTAGGTTGTTTGTTTGCCTTGGAAACAGAGAATCCTTCCCATTACCCCTTCTTTCTATGACTTTCATCTTTGTTATAATCCCATTTTATTTACCTCTGGTATACCTTGTTTTCTTTAGAATTGCCTGACTTTATCCTCCTTCAGTCCCAGCTTGTTTGAAAAAAATTTTTTCTGGATTGTCTCTTTTGCTCTGTATTCTTCCTAACTTCACTGCCAGTATAGATTATCCTGACACACTGAATACCAAAGGACTACACCAGCATTATGAAAAGCACATCAGACTTGAGGCTAAGACACTTGCCATTGTTTCTGATGTGTTGTTCACCTCAACCTGTTCGTATACCCTTCATTATCTCTTTGATACTCCAATTCTCCATTCTGTCACTGGCTATTATCAGTCAACAAATGTTGGCCTTATTAAAGGCAGTGAAAATGTTCCTCTTCACATCAGGATTTCATCCAGAGTGCCAGTTCCAGCATGGTTTCCTGAAGAATGTTGCATTCATTTTTAGGAATTGGCAGATTAGGGTCTCTATGCTGCAAAGTGCTAATACAAATGCATTACTGGGGCTTTTTACAGCATAGAATCACTATGACGCTTAAGACAAAATTCAATAAACATGTTAATAAGTATTTGGTGTGTAGATGGCTCATGCAACCATACTTCCCCTACTGCCTTCATATTTATGTACAAGTTGATTCAATATGATCTATGTTTTTATGTCTAGCAGATTATTGGGAAATTTTATTTGGAAATTTTCCATTATTGGGGTATTTCTTGTTAAAATGCTCCTTTTTGCAGTGACTTGTTGATCCAGATGTAGTATGAGAGTCAAGAAACTGCACTCCTCCTTGCTTCTAAACAGATGTTAAATAAGCAGCCCTCAGGAACTATGGGTAAAATTCCTACCTCAATCCAAAGATTAATATTTCCAAATGCATTGAAAAAATGAAACTGTCTTTAAATCCTAGAGATAAAATACAAAGATCAGAAACTATTGAAGAATATGGTTTTTTACTATGCTTTTTTAACATTGATTTCCCTCACCAGCGCTCTCTCAGGCTTCCCAAATTGCTGCTGTCTCCCACGCACCTGCTGATGGTCTCACACTACTGCTCACTTGTTGCCAGCTCAATCCATAGAACTAAAAATGTTCTCACTCATATAGAAAGTGACAGCTGAATTTGTTAAAAGCTAACCCAGATAGGAAGGCTAAACAAAAAGAAAGCTAGCTTGGGAAAAACGTAAATTAATGATTGGTTCACTGAGTTGCCAAATCTTGCAGTATTTTTTCAATATTTTTTTTAGGAAAAGTATGTTCAGAATTGTTAGATATTCTTTGCTTTCCCTTATTTTTTATCTCCATCCCCACTTTCTGCCTGCATGCAGAAGGCAGTACAGGAACTGTGATAAGAGTGCTTTTTCAAGAAAAATCCTGCCAAACTTTGTGGGCATGAGGCAGCAGAAGGAAATGGAAGGACCATTCATATTTGAAAAGACAACCACCATAGTAACATTTGAACGTGGACTTGAGAAGGATGAGGAAGGAAGCCATCATCTTCAATGGGAGTCACTTGGACTCCCCAGCACTCTGCATGCTCTTCCTTCCCTGCAGTCTGCTCTGCACCTGAATTACCTTCTGGTAAGTTACAAAACCGGGAGGGGGAGAGGACATCTCAGGGGTCCTAAGGTTGTGCTTAAGTTTGTTGGCTAAACAAACACACATATATACCAAAAAAAAAAAAAAAAAGAACAAAGGAAAGAAAAGAAGGAAGCAGCTGGCAGTTTGGCAGTTTTATCCCAGATCCCCAGTTTTGTCCTTTGCTATGTCGGACAACATGTGTTAGATGCCTCCTTCCTAGACTATAGCAGAGTGCAGTGATACCATGCAAGCTTTATATCTGAGCTGCCTTGGGTAAGAAAACAAACTGGTTGTGTGGGAGCCAGATCTCTGCAGATGTATTTACCTGGCTTTTTCAAGTGTGCAGGGGCCACAGATCTGCCACATTCAGGCATTTGTTTCTGGTACTTGAATCAGCTTGTTCAAGGTTCGCACCACAGGGCACAGAAGTTTGCTGTATAGACAGGCTTAGAACAAACACATTTGAGAGAACTACTATTTGCAGGGACTGCTCACATTCAATATCAGAGCAGTCTGGAACACAAACCTGTTTTCTAATCAAGTGACATCTTGTCATGAGTGCCAAAATTTTGAGCTTTCAAAAAATTTTTATTGTAACATGTCAGTATTTCGCCCTCCATATCACTGCAAAGTCATCAATCATACTCCTACTCTTGACTGGGCTGGAGGCTTTACTCCAACATTGTGAAAATTTGGTCTTACCCTCACATTCCTACTACTCTTCCCTCCAAGGAGAAGTGCCTTGGAACAGCACAAAAACCAAGACATATGAGTTATACTAGTAGATCTAGCGAATGTATTTAATAAATAGTAGACTTCCAGCTAGAAGCTTTATACAACAGAAACCTAGGAATAAGATCACGGCTGTTATGCAATGCATTTCAATTTAAAAAATAATAATTATAAACAACAGCAACTTTTCCAGGCATTTCAGAACAATTTGGAATTATTTGAATCCTGGGCAATTATATATGAAACATGGTTAAATTTATTCTCTTGGTACCTTTACCCATCATAGTTTGTAAGGAACTTTTCAGGCTTTTAGGAGAGTTGTTCCATGAGATTTTATAAGCACTTCTATCCAGATAATTAAAAGAGTCTAGATATCTTATGGCTAAACTCCTCACTGACTGAGAATGCTGCATTCTCTTTCTGGTGGCCATTGGACTACCATGAGAAAATGGTAGAACAGAAATTAGGGGCTCAGGCATAGCAGTTACTCTGAGTATTGACATAGCCTATACATGTATATTTGGGGAACTCTCCACTGAGTTAGACTGGCAGTGTTAAAAAAACAGGTCTTACATAAATCACACAAGAATTTAAAATGTTTTTCAAAGAGGAAGAGGAATTTATAAATACAAGAACTACTTTCTATAGAAAGACCTGTATTACTTGGAATATACATATCAAATCTCTAAAATTAAAAAAATAGTTGAATCTAGTCACTGTGGGTAGAAAAGTTCTGGGTAATTTTCTGATGCAGGCAGATTGCATCTTATATGAGTGAGATGATAGATTTCACTACCCTGTAACTGCAGCCCCTGTGTTGCAAAAGGATATTTATGGTCCTGCTCTCTCCATGGTGGTTAGAGCATCCATCTCTGGGGAGCAGTCAGTAAACAGAGAAAATTCCCTGAGATTAAAAAAATAGTGTGTGTATAGGAAAGGATAATTATTTCTTTTAAAATATACCCACATAGATATTTTAATAACATTGAAAACCAGAAATTGAAAGCACAAGTCGAAAAGGTTTTCACAGCCAAAGCACACAGCGTTAAATATCTTATTCACTGCCTGTCTCACTCGATGGAGATCATAATTACTATCAAGTTAGTATGAAGCCTGCCAAATGTGCCTGACTTCAGGGCAGCATGCTCCTTTGCAGCCATTTTCTTTCCAGAATGACTAATAATCTGCGTATGATTAATCTAATTGGGATAGTTCAGGGTATGAAGGTTGTTTATAAAAAAATAAAAATATGTTAGATAGCACCTTAGTGGAGCATCAAGCAAAAAACAACTATAGAGTTGTTAAATTTCTTAAGGAGAGTGACATATTGATCCCCCATCTTGGATCGATTCTACTATAATTCTATTATGAACAGCTTTATGGTGTTTTTAACCATCACATAAAAACAAGAGAACTCAAAAAAATTACCTGAGGGTGTTTTTGGTGTGGCTCTGATAGGACTGGGCAAAACACAGAATACCTCGTTTTCAGTGTTCATTCCTGTTTAACAGAAAAAAAAATAATACTTGTAAATCAGAAAGCTTAAAAACACAGCTAAACAGAAATTTCTAAGACTCATACACTTTCATAGAAATTACACTTTGGATCAGTCAGCATTTTCAAGTAAAATCATATTATAGAACATTTATAATTAACCTAATTACAATATATACTAATCCAGGCTGTATCACAACAGTGATTCTTAACAGTTAGAACAAGCAGTATGAGAATCTATTTGAGATGTGTTTCTCAATTCTATCTATTACAAAAAAATATTGTTGACAAGCTCAAACACAACAGAAGGAACACATCAGAAACTGGAAAGATGGTTTCAATAAATGAATAAATGCTCAAACTCTTTTTTTAAAAAAAAAGATCTATGTATTTCCACGTATTAAATGATACTGAAACTACAAAAATAAAGGTTGTTGCTTAGGAAAGAACTCAATGTATGGCAAAAAAACATGCTAAACATATTTCCGAGTGATCAGTGAAATATAAGCATAAAAGGAGAATAATAGTACAAAATGGTAGCCAGGCACAAGCTCTGCTATTGAAGACAAAAGGCCCCTTTCCTTTTTAGTTAATCAAGTCTCTTAATTTCAGCTGAAATTAGCAGGTGAAAAAAAGTGAACCTGAGCTTCTTGTTCAAGGTGATGAATGAAGGTTGAAACACCAGCTGAACCTGCTCACATAAACACTGTCCTCCCAGCCAAGGCACCACTGTCTCAACTCTCACAACCAACACTGAATCTCATTTTTAGGAACTACCTTATAGGCAAATAGTGCAAGTCACAAATTATAAAGTGTCATGGTATTACTATAATCTCATTTTGACACTTGTTCTCAAAAAACCCATGATTTAATTTAGCAAGATATGTTACATCCACCTGGATGTGCAAAGTTTGCATGTGTAATTACCTGTGATCACACACACACATGAGCAGCCATACTGGGCCAGAGAAAGGATGGAATCAGTCAAGGAGGTGGTCAGCAGCAGCCACCAGATGAGAGTAAAACCATCACAAGAACATATGATATTTTCCCCCCTAATACTCTCATAATTTCTGAATATTTTCAGCTAGGGAGATTTTCTGAATGGGTTGTGCTTTACCTTATGCTACACATAAGGTAGCACTATTCCAGTTATAAACTCTGGTCTGCCCTTGACTGCATGAAAACCTGTGCTCATTAAAGCCTTTGGAAAAGAATTGCAGAAGTCCTTTATCCACTGCATGAAGTTCCTCTTGTTTTAAACTTCTCTCTCCCATTCCTTTCACAGCTCTTGCACTGTAAGAGATAGCACTGAGTCTGCCCATACCTTCTTGCAAGCAGTTGTGGTTTTGTAGATCTCTAATACAGCTGCTCACATTGCTTCCTTTCAATGCTATCAGGCCTCCCAGCTTCTGCACAGAAGCTGTTGGTTAAGTCACCTTTGCTGCCCTTCTCTGGACTTTTTCCAATTCTAAAACATTATTTTTGCAATGACATGTCTAGAACTGCACCAATTTTCAATGTCCTGCTGTAGCATGGCTTTATACAGTGGGATAATTATATTTTCTGTTTGTTCTCTGTTCTCTAATAAATTCTAACTATTGATTCTTCTTTTTTTTAACTACAGCCAAACACCGAGATGATCTTTTCATTGAACTATTTATCATAACCCCCACATCTCACTCTTGAGTGGTAATCATCAGTTCAGAGCCCATCATCTTCTGTATGAAAAAGGCTTTTTTCCCCAGTGTACATATACTTTACATTTATCTACTCTGAATTTCATCTGGGTAATTTTATTACCCAATCACTTTGCCAATTTTTCACAACTGATCCTCATCATTACTACCTGGAAGAACTTCTCATCGTCACCAAACTTCTTGTGCACTTTTAAATAGCATGGATCTCCCTTTTGGTACTGTTAACCCTTCCTCAGACCCATGCTGATGTCCCCACCCTCTCCTTAAAAAAAAAAAAAAAAAAAAAAAATTTAGAGAAAATTCTGATCCCTGAAACTGGTTAGCCCTTAAACTCCTTTGGCTAGTTTGATTACAGTTTTATTTTTAGTCTTAGTATGCAGCCCTTCTTACTTAGTTTGGACACAACTTTGGTTTTCTGAATCACCTTTCATACTTCTAACAGCACTTTTTCCTTTGCTGATTAGCCATGCCAGGCTCTTTTTACCCTTTCTGAAGTCTTTCCCAAAGGATGGGGCATGCTCTGCTACTGTGTCCCTACCTCAGAGATCTAACTGCCTGGAAGAATTTAATTCTTTTAGTGGCCCATTTTAGCTTCTTTTTAGTGGGCTTCCCTGCTTTCAGAGAGTTGTTCTTTTTGAAGTTAAGCATATTTGTGGTAGATTTTTTGGCCTTTGTTGCTCCTGTGGGGGGACTGAATTGAAGTACATTACGGTCACTGTCACAGAGCAGCGGTTCCATTGTGAGATTCCAAACCAGATCCTGCACATCACTCAGAACACAAACAAGCTGTCACTCAGTGAGCTCTGGTTGTTTGGGGAGCTGATCTCAAGCCCCCTCTCTGCTTTGCTGCTCCGTCAGCTCTGTCACAGGTGCATGGCTCTCTTGGAGGATTTGCACGTGGGTCTGTCAGAAATGGGATTAAAGGAACTGAATTGTCGTTTCCTTTAATAGTCTATGCATTTAATAAATATAGCACAGACACAAGCTTTCAGAAAAGTGTAACTGTTGAGGTAATTGTTACATGCACATCCTAACAGACACATTTTGTCAATCTTTGGAATTCAAGCCCTAACCACCTTAAAAATGGAAACTCCTGACCTGAGCACATGTATGGGCAGTGGCAACCAAAATTTGGCACAAGGCAAGAAAAAAATGCTATGCAACTGCCACAAACAGCTCATTTGAGCTGGCAGAAAAAGCACAGCCAACACATCTTCCCCAAAATTTTGAAACAAATAATTCATTAATCAATTTTAATACAAAATGCAGTTAATTCTTAAAAAAAACCCCAAAACCAAAACAAACCCTCAGGCAGAGTTTTGCTCCAGTCTCTTCATCTTTCACAAAAGATGGAACTCTGAAGTTCACCAGATGCTTCGATCTCTCTCTGTTCTCTGTGTGGCTGGTTTCCAGGCCCTGCCAAGAACAGTAGCACCATAAATCCCTAAGACACAAAGGAAAACAATCCTGCTGGTGTGCGAAGGTTTGGACACAACTGTGTACTCTTTCACTGCACTCCTTAAAGAGTCAAAGGACTTTTGAGGACACCTAGAGTGTCTTACACATTATTATTGTTTTACAATACAGCACTTATTTGCTTATATGGGCTTCCATTGCCATGTCTTGTCAATGGGTCTAACTGAAAGTCTCCCTGCGTTCTCTGTCCCCTCAGCACTTTTTATCTGGTGCTTATAACTGTTTAATTCCTTATTTGCTCTGTGCAAGACAGAGCACCATCTGTCTGCTGTGCATTACACTAACACAGCCTTAGGATGTTCATTCTCCTTAAATTGTGTTACTGTGAGCAAAAACATTTTGTTAAAATATGGCATTTGGTGTACCTACCCAAAGATGCTGATTTACTGAAAAACTTCCAGCAGTGGGATTCATGCATGTGACACACTGACAATTGCGGATTTCTTTTAACATCAGTTTCTGTCTGTCATACCTATGCAGTTACAAAATAACAAAGGGATAATAAAGTGCAATTGTATATTCACAGTTTGAGATTTCTATTGACAGATCTTCACACTGAATGCTTCTACAAGAAAGTGTGATTAAATAGCTCTCTGTTAAAAGAGCTGAAAATCTCTCCTTTGTTACAACTCTCTTACACACCATTGCTAGCATTTGGAATATTTTAGGAGATGTGTCAAAGTTGACAGGTCCAAATTTGGCCTCCTCTCACCAAATAATATTTGTAGATTTAGATATCTTTCATGCAGGAAAAAATTCCAGCAGTCACCTCCAAGGCAAGGGCTAGGCTCTCTGTCTAACTGCAGGTCAGCCAATAAACCAGCAACAATCTCCTCTTCTGTCCCACAAAATGTGGGTTTATGTTCTACACTATCCCTCCTTTTCTGGCATATGTATTAAGCTGATACTGAGCTGAAAAATCACTCTGCTTACTCATTCACCTGCGGGATAGATGTTCTTATTAGTTCAGCTTGTCACCTCTAACTTTCCACAGCACCGTTGAAAGCTCTATTTTATTACAACTGCATGGGTGCTCTACTTACAACTTGCAGAGTAATCTTCTGGCTTCTCTTCTGTTGCATATCATGGTGCATGGGATTAACACTGACAGGTAGTTAACTTCTTGGATTATTGTTTTCTAGCCTGCAAATTAGCTCAATAAAATTTTCACAATATATGATAAAGCCAGGTCGTTCTCTTTGTCTGAAGGAATCCTGACTGTTTACAAGTGAAAGAAAAGGAAAAGGAAAGGAAAAAGAGAAAATATATAGGATAGATATTTGATACATAAATAATTAAATTATGTCTGTTCGATTTTGCTTCACTGGGAATCCAAAAAGATTCCAGGAATGAACGTTTGTGTTGGTAGAAAGTTACCGAGAGACATTAATTTTTTTACTGCAATAGTGTAGAACTGCAAATCTGGCTGTTGGATTGTAATTGACAATAGAAAAAATATAATTTTAGGTCAGAAAAATCTGTAAATCCCTTAGCTATTTTAGGAAGAAAAAAAAAAAAAGAAGAGAATGTAAACTCATAGAGTTGGAATGCTTGTCTTCTCCTCCTCACATTAACAACCCAGAAGAAATACAAAAAAGATTCATTTCAAATCATATATATAATGTAGGCCAGTAGATTATAAATTCTTCTCGTCTAGATTTATTAGATAGCTGTAGGCAGAATACTAACATTTGTATCCAAGCATTCTACAGAATTTACTCTAAACTTCTAGCCCGTCTTACGCACTTTTCCTGCAGACACATATGTATTTTAAAGTGAAATAAGTGCAAAGGACAAAAGATATCTTCCTTGATCCATCTCCTACCTCCCCCATCCTTTTGGAAATTTAACAGGGTGCACACAATGATGATTTGGAGTCCCTGGATATAATATGCTTCAAAGCCTTTCAAGGAAAAAGGCAACAAATCCAGAAGCACACCTTGGCAGACTATTTGGCTTATAGAGAAAAAAGAACAGCAACATCTCTTTTTGCCTTTTCATTCAGCCAGCTCCAAAATATTTCCCATAAGCAAAATTATAGCAAAAAATAACAACAAAATCCCATACTGCAGGTAAGCAAATAGAGCATGTTTCCCTCTAAACCAGACTAGAAGTACATTGCTTGATTTGACGACAGTTATAGAAAATCAGGAACAATATCTGAAAATGTATTTCCTATCCTGAGGCTCTGCATCCACTACTTGCTTCTTTTGCTCATCAAGCAGTAATTTTGTGTCTTGGCTGCACTAGTTATTACCTAGAACTTCTTTGAACCTTTCAGCACATCAGGGAGGCTTTCTAAAGCAAAGCTTTAAGTAGAATTTATATATTAAAAAGAATATTTTTCCCAAACTGCAGGAAGAAGTCAACATTAATCAATTTTTTGGTATGTTTTTAATGTCCCAATGTCTGTCTAAGTTAAATTTTCTTCAGGTTTTCTTTTTTTGTCTCCAGCAATCCTATTTTGTAGCATCAAACAAAACTGCAAAATCAGGTGAGACTCTAAGGAACCGACATTTCCCTCTGAGCCCATGTGTCTGGGTCTGTGCATTTAAACTCCAGTAACAGTTTTTTCCTCAGATATGCTGGTCACTATTTGGACATACAAGAATGCATAAGCACCTCTGGAAGTTACCAGAGAACATTTCTCTAGGAGATTTCACTTGTTTACTTTGGCAAGTATGGAAACATCTCCTTCATACTCTTGTGGAGATTCACCTTTTGTACATAGGTCTTCCTCCTTCAAAAGACAAGTATGAGTTGCCTTAACAGCTTTGTGACTCTGTCCACATCAGGTGGAAACTCTCCAAGGACCATGAAGACCATAATGGAAATATCCACAGGTAGTGACAGGGAAGCAATAGAAACCTTACTAAGGTTGTATTAGTCTTTCCATACATTTCTTTTATGCTGAAATTTCCCAGTGAAGTTTCCTTGTAAAAAAATTTCCACCAGCAGATAGCAAGTGAGGAAATGAACACCTCAAAACTGGTGCACAAGCTAAAGCTCCCACAGTCTACCTCCAAATTTAAAGGAATCAATGGCTTTTATGGTGGCCTTTTTAAAATTTCTTCTCCCACTCTGCAGTCCAGGGCAAAGGCACATATCCTGTGACTTCCTTTCTCTGAAATATTCAGACAGGTATTCTGTCTTTCAGTGAATGCTGCAGACTCCAAGTGGGATTCTTACAGCACTAAACATCCAAAGCAAGTAACAAAAGTGGAAGCAAACACTACAGTATGATCATCTTAAATAAATAGCATCAACTAAGACAATTAAAACTTTTACTAATCTCTACAGTCAAGGCATTGCTGGATTAGAGAATGAAAGCAAATGCAAGAACAGGCATTAGTATCAGGAATAATACGATCATCAATGAAAACAATTACCTTTAACAGCTCAAAGGAGCATCATTTCCCTGTTTTGTCTTCCAAGTGTTTTTGAGAATATAGAGTAGATGCTGTTATAGTAAATGTTAAAGCCATGCCTCATGCCTAGAAGTATCCAAGCAGGTACTTTAAGCACCAGTCGTCACAGAAGACAACCCATGGGATCTACCTGACCCAGACTTCTCAAATACTAACTGCTTCAGGGCCTAAATGTTTTGGTGCATTGGTGGCTTTTGTTAGTATTAATTTGAATTGCTTCTCCTCTTCCAGATCAAGACGAATGATACAATTGACTGAAATCATATGAAATTATATGTGATGTTAGTCATTAATCATTGTGATTAATAATCAGAAGAGGTTATCACAGGCCAAACTTAAAATCCCTCTACAGATTTTAGTATATTTATGATTTCCTTTCTGTTGTTTCAAAGCATGGAAAAACAAATACTCCTTTTGTATGTTTGGCACAAACTCCCTTGATTGCTTTGCCTTTAAGTGCATTTAAAGAAGAGGTTCCACTACAATGCCAAAAAGGAAATCTCCTTTTCTATTTTTCACAGTGCTGAACTGTGCAGTACAAGAAGTAGGAGAATAAGTTTCACCATTATGATGTGGAAGCAAAGTGGTTGAAAGTCTAACTCCGTGCAGAAACCATCCTGTAACTTTTTGCCTTTTCTGTTGTATTTGCTCTGCAGGTGCTGAAGATTCTCCAAACCTCATAAAGTTAAGTGAGGTCTTCAAATAATCTCACGGTGATTACAGGGATGATGTCAAGCCATGACTTGAAGATTCTGGGAGTTACCTATTTTTTTGCCATTGACACTTACTCTCTTTGCATACTACCTTTTCAATTATTTTTGGTTAATTCTTTGCTCCAGCAAATCCTTTCCAGAAACCTCTGAAATTAATTTTACCTGGCTCAACCAGGCAGAGCTGAAGGATGTACAGAAATAATAGCTCTTATTTTTGAGTTTGTCTTTAGCATAAAGGCAACAAAAACAAAACTTTTTATCACAATATTCCCTGTTCATGTCCAACAATTCTAAACTGAATAACCAGTGTGCCAAAATTCCTGTAATTGCAATTATCTCTCCCTTCCTCTTGAAATGTAGGTTATAAAACTAATAGTTTATACCAGAAAAATAGTCATTTAACTTTTCACATTTATGACAATGAGTGAGAGCTATATTGCATTAAATAAGTGTTTTGTTCTTCTAAAAATATGCCTAGATTTGATCAAGAATAGATAAAAAGGATGTCAAAAATTCCATCAGAATTGACAGGATTCCTATTGAAGAGTTACGGTTCATCATTGATTGAGCTTATTGAGTTACTCAGAGGCTGTGCTTGCGTTATAGGGATTCTAATCCTTTCTTTGTTCCATGGTTCTACTCAAAAGAGACTTCACTTACTCACTACAGCAGAAATGGTGCAAAAATCAGCTACATCAAAGAACCAGGCCCATTGACACACAAGGATTGTTACAGCTACAGAGAGTGAAACACAAGAGATATCGTGTAGTAACTGCAAGGGACTTGAACCATTGCATATTTTCCTGATAGCTTGATAATCCTGGCAGACAGAACAGCCCATTTCCCAGATTCAGCCTTTCTAACCAATATAAGTGGTTTCTCTTTCTCCAGAAAGACAGCTACAAAATATTGCAAGCATTACTGCATATTGTCTTAGAAATTAGAATGAAGACAACCTATTTGCAAAGACAAGCTGTAGAAATACCTCTACACTAGCAGCAAAAGAAATACTATGTTAAACTGTTAGGAGAGTTCACACACTAGTATCAGTCACCAGATTTGTGTGTTTTTAATACATAAGTTAATGTGATGAAGAGACATTTAACTAACAAAGTAAAAAAGTGGAAATAAACAGCACTCAAAAATCCATATACTTGAAACTGATCTTAATTTTTGGTAATACGGAAGGATTATAAACACTACAAAACTAAAACGCAAACAGGTATTTCAACAGGATTACATTATATAGCATTTGCAGCTCAGTGTAGTAGAATAGTGCATTCTCCTGCCACTGAAATGTAGTGAAATTCAATATTAGAATTATT